TATGGCAGAAGGGTATCCTGTGCATAAAATGATCCAGCATTTTCCAACAATAACGTCCCTGATCCCTTAAAAGCATTTTATTTGTACAAATGGAACTCAAATACTTTCTGTAGGATGCCAAACAGATTTGCTTTTATTTTCAGTACAATTTCCAATTACGCCACCTCTAAAATGTCAATTTTCGGGTTAAATGGTGATCCACGGCATTTGCCCATAACAAAGTCAGGAGTCTCCTAAACCTGGGAAAAATTGAGAATCAAGTTTCCTCTTCCTTGTCGCTGAATTATTATTTATTTTTTATCGAATGTGTATTGATAAAGCTCTAGTCATACTGTAATTCTTTCTGAATGTGGGTCAAATAGATTGTATTATCAGTTATGTTAATTGTAATGCGGGATTTGTTGCTAAAGTATTGTTCTATTGGCAACTGAAGGTCCTGGATCTGTATGTTTGGTTGAGCTTTCACATTGAAGATAGTTTTCCAGATCGCGAACTGGCATCTTCACAGAAGGCTATTTGCAGCATGTTAGTGCAAATGGAGTCTTTTTTATTTGAATCTATGCGTTTCGATTTCTAATTGTCTTGATTTTTGTTTTCTGTTTCTGAAGGTTGATTGAGGAGTTCTTGGAAAGACTTGGGTGGCAGAAGCCGAACCCCAAAATATTACCTGGCCGTAGCAGATTGAAGTCTCTGTCGTCTCAAAGTGCACGACATCTTTTTTGAAATCCTATTCTGTTAACTTCCTCAAGATATTTATATTCTGATAGATCTTTTTGTGTCAATTCCTTTGCTCTATATTGCGATGTAGTATTAGAGCACGCTAAAATAACAGTTTGTGATTTTTTAATCGAATGCTTTGCCTTGCGAAATTTTCACTTGTAAGCACAAGAGTCTCTGCCCTCAAGTCGTTAAGAGATGAATGAATTACACATACATTTAACGAGTACACACACTTTCAGTTACCAATGGTCATGGCGAGATCACAGGCCTTGCTGGAAAAAGTGGAACCGGCTAACAATTTCTCGATCATATTCTTTGGAAACAATTTTAGTAAAAGAGTGGCAGTCGCCAGGCGGAGCACATCAGGAGATCCTTAACAACCCGTACAGGGATTTCATGATCTGAACGTATAAGCCCGAAGGCAATGGCTCGTTTCTCGCTGTGTCGGCTCAGCAAGAATTCTCTCTTGTTTGTCTGTGTCCTGCAAAACATCTCTCAGATAAGGAACATAACCCGAATCTCTTAGTTTGCAATTCATCTCTTCTCGTGGACGACTCCATATGCCTCCGTTGAACTGGAACCAGGAACTTTCAGAATTCCTTTTTATTTCATGTGCTTTCTAACATTTGCAAAATCGCTCCATTTGCCCGCAGAAGCATGTATGTTTGATAGGAGAACTTGGTTCTTGGATTCCAGTTTTTCCCTAAGCAGACACTGAATAATCTCTCGACTGCATGAGTTGCAATCGTTTCATTTTTGTGTATTCTGCGGGCAGCCAAAACAGCCTCCATATGGCTTCATTAATCTCTAACCTCTATGTATTGTCACACTTATATTCGTAACTTTTTCTCATCAACCTTCCACTAGAGTACATAAGAAAGTATCTCTAATGATGATTTTTATAAAAAAAAAATAGTTATTGTACTTTGCAATAAAGGGCTATATTTAATCGTACTTTGTATTTGTCATTTTTATTTAAAATATACGAGAGGTGACAAGTAAATCTTGCACTCCATCTTAAGAGTGCGAAAATGATATCGAGAACGAGATATGCTAAATTAATAGAAGTTCAGTGATAATAATGAGATGAAAAATAGGTTGAGAAGATAAAAGCTTTAATGCAATTAAATGTAGGTGCTTGTATAAAATTGTAACGTTAATATAGCTATTCAATATATAAATGAAATATGTGTTACACTATTTGCGTTTATATGAACAAGTAAAAAATTTAAAAATTATTTCACTCAGAGCTATTTATCTTTCTAAGTAATACATGTTTGTGGGCCTATTTGTGTGTGTGTGTGTGTGTGTATAAGACCATTGTGCATTGATTTTGTTAAAAATCATATTTTTTGTGGATTTTAATAAAAATTAATGAATTGTGTAATTAAAAAGTTGATAAAATTTAGAGATCCTATTAACTGTGTGAATAGAATTAATTGTTGACTTTAATTTAGATTTTTATCAACTTTTTAACTAAATCAAATAAGAATTACAAATTTCGAATCATCCTGAAGTATTTTATAAGCTATTTAGCTTAAATTAAAAAAAGTCCTTGTTTGGTTTAGTTAAAAAGTTGATAAAATTTTAAGTTACAGTCCGATATTACTTTTACTATATATTTTATTGGATTCACAATTTTTATTAACTTTCGTTAATTTTTATCTGACTTTTAGTAGATTTTGATAAAAAGTTAATTAAAAAATATGGTTAGAAATTGATTAAAATTGTAAATTTTATTAAATATAGTTAAATATAATTTGAAAATTGGGTTTTAAAAAATGACAACCAAACCAGGCTAAGTAAATTCATTTGCAAGTGTTAAATAATTTATTTTTAGTTTCATTTTAAGTAAAAAATGTTATAAAAGTGAAAAAAAATTGAGAAAAGAACAAAGAGAAGTCAATAAACTTGTGTATTTTATTAATAACCAAAGTCCTGTATTTATAGAACAAAAATAGGGAAACAACAGTAATAATTTTTAGGGTTGCAGGGGTATAATTATCATTCACTTCTAAACTTTAATAAACTTACATTTTACAACACTCCCTATTGAATGACAAATTATAAAATATATACCTTATTAAAATCTTGTTTGATAAAAACTCAATGGGAAAAAAACCAAACGAAGGAAAAAGAGTACAGTTATTTTGGAGTACTAAAATAAATGTTGCCTCATTAAAATCTTATTAGGAAAACTCAATGGGACAAAATTTAGGCGAAGGAAAAAGAGTACAACTACTCCCCCTGATGTTGATCCCTAAAAATCCTTGAGTCGACGCTTTCTAATCTCATGAACTAATTTTTTGAATGTAGATGTTGACAGTGCTTTTGTGAATAAATCAGTCACATTGTACTTGAGCGAATTTGTTGGATATCGATGTCGCCATTCTTTTGAGACTCATGTGTATGATAGAATTTTGGAGAAATCTGCTTCGTCTTGTCACTTTTGATATAGCCTCCTTGGAGTTGTGCAATACAAACTACATTGTCTTTATACAAAATTATTAGCTATCCCTTGTTGGAGTTAACCCGCATGATGCTTGGATATGATAGGTCATATCTTCAACCAATACACATTATTGGCTTGCTTCTTGAATTGCAATAACTTCGAGATGGTTTGAGGATGTTGTTATCAATGATTGCTTTACGGATCTCCATGATATAGCCGTTCCTCTACGTGTAAACACATATCCTGTTTGTGATTTAGTTTTATGTAGGTCAGAGAGATAACATGTATCTGTATATCCCACTAACGCAGATCCCAACTTTTGAGAATAAAATAATCTCAAATCAATAGTACCCTTTAGGTAACGAAAAATATGTTTAACGCCATTCCAATATCTTTGAACAAGTATAGAGCTATATCTTGTAAGGGGATTTATAGAAAAAAGTTATGTCAAGTCGAGTGCAATTTGCAAGATAAGTTAATGCTCCAATTGCACTAAGATATGGTACTTCAGGATTAAAAACATTTTCTCCATCTTCAAGTGGATGAAATGGATCATTTTTCTCTTCAAGTGATTGAACAATCATATGTGATGCCAATGGATGTGTATTATCTATATAAAAACGTTTTAAAACTTTTTCTGTATACGTAGATTGGTAAACAAATAATCTATCTACGAAATGTTCAATCTGCAATTCGAGAAAAAATTTGATTTTTCTCAAATCTTTCATCTCAAATTCATTTTTCAAGTAACCAGCAGCTCTATTGAGCTCTTCAGGAGTTTCAATTAAATTTAAATCATCAATTATAATTGTAAATTCAATATTTGTTTTCTTTATGAAAACATATGGGCGGATATGGTCATTTTCGTATAATTCAGTTAACAAATATTCGCTAAGGTAATTATACCACATGCGTCCAGATTGTTTTAATCAGTATAATGATTTAAGAACGTAGTTCTCGGGTATGTATCATTTGAGTTATGTTTCAGGCATAATAAATCCTTCAAAGATAACATTAATAATCATGCTGGATCAGTTGACTATCACGTATTTCAAATTTCATGTATCGTCAAGATAACATGATATAAGCTCCTGATTTTATTCATGACGATCTTTGCGAAATTTTCTATGTTGAGAGTCGTGCATTACACAATACAACTTCATTTTTCTCATTTCATTTTCGTATAAGTATGTACCTTTAAATTTTTGGACTTCAGGTCTAAAAATTTCGTATTTATCTAGTAAATTCAATTTAAGATCGTGCCTTCTTTTATTTGGCCAAAGATTATTTCGATCGATATATTTCGACGCATTTATTTTGATTCCTCGTGATTCACATATGATACAGTATATTATGTATAAAATTGTTGTTGACAACTTTTTCTTTTCTCATTCGATTATATTTCTTTTTTCATAGTGACATAACTTATTTAGATATCTCAATTTTCAACATATCAGGTACCTGAACCTCTTACGAGGTTTTATAATTTGTTACGTCTGAATACTCATTAAGAGTATATACCTCCTTAATGAAACTATCTTTGTTAATTGCTCCATTTTTATTTGAAGACTTTTGTATTAGAATCAAATATCATCACGCTTCAAGCGTGCGATAAATATATCAAATATAACGCTAACAAATTATCCCCTAAGAAATCAATTCATATTGGAGTATTAAAAATTGGTGCGTGAGATATTGTTGATCTCTTTGATCAATAAATGCATCTAAATAAATTATCTTTCGAACTTCTGGTTTGAATGATATTTAGTGAGGATTTAGATGATGATGCATTTATATATTATTTTCAATTTCTTAATTCCTCCCCTAATGCTGAGAGAATTGTCCAATCAAATTGACAATCATTTTTTCAGTGTTATAAAATATCGCTCATTTGAAACAATAGTTCAAACTACGTACTTATACCCAGTATTTTTTGTTTTCCATCTCGATGTATTGTGGTGTTCAATTTTTACATATCTACACCATCAAAATAATTAGATGGAAAAATTAGGATCTGATCATAAGCTGATTATAATAGAGAGAACTGTGATTTTGGCATGATCCGTAATAAAATTCCCTAAATAAAAATGGGAAATACTTAATTCTCAATTAAATTAATTGAAGGCATTTAACAAGCAATAGTGTTAAACCGTTAATCGACATCTCAACTAACACTTATTAAAATGTTGAGATTTATGTCCACTAACATTAACAAGACATAATCTTGATTATATAATCTGAAAATTATGCTCATAATTTCAGCAATAATTTGCAAAACTTCGGGTTGTGAACATTATGCAATCATCTAATATTTATTTCAAATCTATTAGATACAAATAATATTTAGATGGTTAACATGGTGGGTGACGAGTCCCATATATGACACTTATTAATTTTCAGAAATATAGGGAATTCAATCCCTATTTTAGCTAGTGATATTTAATGATCAATTGTCGATAAAGAGAACAAAAATATATAGGAATTCATTGTATTGAAAAATCTTCCGATTCTTCATTTAATATCCATTAAAAAATTTAATTTTGCATCATTATTGATCCAGTGATAGTTCAACTTGTCATACCAAATAATAAAATCAAATTGAACTTCTGGTTCAATATAATATATAATTCAATCATTTAATCTCGAAAAATATGATTAAATATTATATAATCATATATCATTCAAGTAATCAAACTAATTAATTTTCTAA